TGAATGACAAGTTGTATTCTCAAAATCTGAGGAAGTTCCATTTTAAAGGGAGTGCTTGCTGAAAGGCAAAAAGATTTTCTAAATTTTGCTATATTGAAATCGAGTATGAAAAATCGAAGAAATATTGCGGAAGTGTATTCTCGAGCGATGACACGAAAATAAATTTCCCTGAAACGTATCGGGAACAGTATGTTTGCTTACCGCAAAGCCAGGTATCTAATTCAAAATACACAAGGACAAGAGTTAAAAATGGAGGTGGCAGTTTGTATTGTGGGATCGCATTTCGTGGTATGTTTATTGGTACATTGGTTTCAGTTTTTCGTACAGTGGTTATCATAACCAAAAAGGTGTATGGAGGTATCTTAGAACAAGAGAACAGGACAGCAGAGATCGTGCCATCAAAATGTCGTATATATAAATATATATATGCGTACAATACAAATGCATATACACACACTCAAGGACCGAATTTCAGTTGAGATTTTATGGCCTGAACTTGGATATAAATTTCAAAAAAATCATCCATCACATTTTAAAGTAGCTTTTAAGAGCTCTGCAAAATAATTAGTACTTTGAGTACTGAGAGTATTACTACTGAGAGGAATGAACATTGCGGCCCTGTGTCCAGGAGTGCAGTGGTTGTTACATTATTTACCAGAATTTGTACCTCCGGCATAGCTAGATTTTGTACCACCACTGTATGTAAACGAATTTCTGAGGGGTCTTCCTTCCCACTCGGTGACTGTTGCCCCTTCTCGATCACCGGTTTGCGTTTAAATTTTGGTTAAACGCTGCCTCTTTTCGTTGATTTTTCTTTCCGCCATCCTTTTCTTTATCTGCGCTCTTGTTATTGGAATTTTCACTTTTACCCCTCTGCCGATACGCGTTGTACTGAACTTGCGGCTTTCTTTGCGGAGTAAATCGTGAGTACTGGCCAAACTGATTTGCACGCGCTTTCTCCGAGTTTCTTCTACTTTGGAACTTCATCGCAAGCTGAAATAGATCTTCTAGCGTTTGTGGGTTACGGACTTCGAGGAAGTCTTGGGCTGAGGGTAGTAGTCGGGGTAGAATTACTTCAATAAGTTAATTATCGGGCTTTTTCCCGTATAATAAATTAAAAATATGAATTTTTCTTAAAATGAACTCCGTCAAATCTTCGAAACTGCCTTGGTATTTACTATACAATTCTGATTCTAGCTTCGCATGATCCTTAACAATTGGCAATGCTTTTAGTAATGCCGACTTGAATAGTAATGCCCAGTTATACGATTCCTATTCTGGGTCCCCCAACAAGAGCTTCCCTATGCCCTTATACTAGTTGAAGGATTGACATTTTAAGGCAGTAGTAGCGATGGTCACCTTTGGCAGCTGATTCACAGGATGTAAGATGAAATGTTGGTCCAATTGCTCCAAAAACGTCAGAACTGAGCCCTTGCCGTCAAATTTTGCTGCTGGTTTCATAGATGCACACAACGTTTTCACGAGGAATCCAAATCCTTCTACTGGATTAATGGATGTGTGGGGGAACTGAAAGGTCGCAGGGGTCAACGTAAACTTCCCGTATTCTAATGACATTGTCCGTTATCAATTTTTAGGGGCCCCAAATGTAAGATTTTTACTAGTGTAATTCTCAGTTACTGTGGAAAGTGACGAATCTTAAGAACTAGTTATCGAATAATCGCTTAAGTTTGTGTGACGAGAAACAACAAGATGGAAGGGTAGCTAACTCTTTATTTTTCCAATAAGATTTAACAAAACTCCGTAGTAGAGTGTACAATCAAAGCCGACACTTCGGCCTGAACTTAAGAGACTAAGAATAAAGTGGAAAGTGACGAATCTTAAGAACTAGTTATCGAATAATCGCTTAAGTTCGTGTGACAAGAAACAACAAGATGGAAGGGTAGCTAACTCTTTATTTTTCCAATAAGATTTAACAAAACTCCGTCTTAGAGTGTACAATCAAAGCCGACACTTCGGCCTGAACTTAAGAGACTAAGAATAAAGTGGAAAGTGACGAATCTTAAGAACTAGTTATCGAATAATCGCTTAAGTTCGTGTGACAAGAAACAACAAGATGGAAGGGTAGCTAACTCTTTATTTTTCCAATAACATTTAACAAAACTCCGTCTTGGAGTGTACAATCAAAGCCGACACTTCGGCCTGAACTTAAGAGACTAAAACTAAGATTAACTAAATAAATATAGCCGAAGCTATCAAGATTCTGGATTAGTTGGCCCCTTCACTCTATTTGACTACGAAGCTTAACTAGGGCCTGAGTACTGCCGAGCGTAATAACAGCTTTGAGAGAGAGAGTGGCCAAAAGGCAGACGCGCGTAAATCAGAAACTCTGATTCTCTCTCGCTAAGACCAAAGAACTTCGCTGTTAAATACCGCTCTTTCTCATTATGTATTCAGACGTGATTCTAAAACTACGTTCTGGCCGGAAGTAGTAAGGTGAAGTTAAGAATTTGACAGGAAAGGAACTTTAACTTAAAATTTAACTGTTAATAAAATTAACAGAATCCTTAGAAAATATTAAATTGCTACTATTTATCTCGATGCTTAAATCAAAAATGTAAATTTTTTATTGCAAATCTTAATATATGTACATTTTAATTTGAATTTCTTTAGGTAAAACTATCTTAAACATTTGAGTTAATTAACAGGGACCGAATATAATCAAAGTATTTGCATAGCTTCTCAAAATAACGCTGCAATCAATGCTTCTTTTTCTTTCAAAATAACATAAATATAGATGTACTAGTGCTCAAAAGTGTTCCTACCAATAGGTATGCAATTAATGTGTTCAGTATATTATCACAACATAATGTATAATTTTATTTAGCAGTTAAATTCAGTATTTTTATAATATTGTTCTGTATTGATTAATTCCTTCAAACTATTAGGGTTATAAATGATATTCATCACCAGTATTAGATAATTAATATCTCTAAAAATTAATTAAATAAATAATTTAAATCATAAACATGTTCGGTACAAAATTTCAGATGTCTCTTTAATTTGTGCAACTGGCTATAAATGATACTATAATTCCTTTTCTTTTGGCCTTAACTAAAAATAAACCTGAGATATTTCAGCATCTCTACTCCAGCACAATTAATATACGCACATTGATTCTAAAAGCTGTTACTCGAGAGCTAACTAGGATTTTATGAAACTTATGGACTTTCATTATATATAAAAAATAATTCCTTCAGATCAAAATTAATTTGTTTGTGGTTGGATTTTATTCGATTTTCTTTTTTCCTAAGGTAATCTCTGATAATGCTATGAGTGGCATTATTTACTGTTTTACTTTTATCAAGGCAGAATATAATTTCTTACACATTACTACATAATTTATAGCAAATTTCGCTAATGTAAGCAACTATATAAATCTTCTCGTCTCGTAATTTATTTACCAGCTTCCTTAACTTATTAAAATGAGTGAAAAGAGCTTTACACTTATTTAGCTTTTTATAACACAGCTTAAAACCCATGTAGACAGTGAATGTCCACTATTTCAGTACTTGGGCCGACGTTAAATTATGTTGCACTTCTGTAAATAAATACATCTGTATCTCTATTGAATTATCTTGCTGGCAATTTTTCTGCAACAAATAAATAGTCTAAACTTAAATCCATATGACAAATACATTTTAAGTTTCGTGCAGTATACAGGATGGTTTATAAATTACGTTCGATTTTAAAATGCAATTCAAAGCTGCATAAAAATTAAATAATTTTACTTCTTTATTTATAGACTCCGCCGGAAAACGAGTTGTGACGTATTTCCATCTCCATATTTTCGGTAGACAGGTATAATTACTCGGTTATGTTCATGATAACCGTTCCGTAGATCGACTTTGTTGACTTCGTCAGCGGCCCGTCGGCTTCTATCTTTAGTTCGGGAACTTTTTGCAATGTGTTTATGCAAACTTTGTATTTCACTAAAACCCACAAAATGTGAAGTGCAAAGCTTTCGCAGACTATTTTCAATTGGCACGTTTAAACGTTTGATCACCACGAAATGAGATCTTTCTTCTACGAAAAAGTGTATCTCGAAATGTGTAACAGGCAGCCTTGCTGTGCTGGAAGATAAGTTCATAGTACCTGGAGTAGTCCATAAACAGTTATGATCATGTTACGATAACATTCAGTGTTTACCGTAATTACATTTGCGAAGATATCGACAGAGAGGGAAAATGCCATTTATGCTTCTTTTCCAAGCGCCAGAATAAATAATGGTTCACAGGAAATGCATTTGCGCTCATAGTTACCCTAACGTATTTTTAACCAAAAATGCAGCAAATTTATCTGTTGAAAACTACAGACAGATGAAAATGCACCTCGTCACAGAAGATTATTTTTGTTCGAAAAAAGTACTGTTCTTTTTCTTTTTTTTATTTTGTCGAATTCTTCGTTTCTAGAAGTCTGTTGATTTCCCTTGTAGCGTTAATAGTTCCACATTACTGTCATGTCTCAGAAAAAAAGTAACTTGGCTAGTCTGAACAATTTTGCGACTTTTTATTTGCAAACAAGTGGTTTTTGATATTTGAACAGCATGGAAATGTCTTATTCTTACCTGAAATAGCTGAGTGTTTTGCTATAAAATCGTTTGGAGTCATCCGCATAAAACTATTTGTTACTTTAAGTATCTTATTTAGGCTCACAGTTATCATTGAAATTAATGACTTTTCGCATGCATACGTACATGCATGCGTACATTCACACATATATACGTGCAATTATGAATCAGGTCCCGAAAACAGGAATGTACCCAAAATCTAATTTCGTTTTCTAAGTAAAATGCTTTTATAAAACATCTAACTATAGACGATGAAATAATCTGCTGATAAATTCCGATCGATCCATTTATGACTTTCCTGTTGTAATCTCGTATTCATGTTTTAAAAGTGTATTTATTTTAGTTTACTTATTATTTCTTTATTATACTATTTTTGGATGGCAAAGTTTTAAGTTCTATTTTTGTTTTTCAGAGTATTCAGTCTGAAAGCGTTAAATGCTGTTGGGTTTGTGTAGCTTGCAAAGAAAACCAGTTCCTAAAAGATGAATTCACCTGCAAAGATTGCGAGCTGGGATGGTGGCCAAATGACAACTTAACAGGTTTGACCGAAAAATATCTTTAAATTTTCATGCATTTCACTTTGAAAAAATGAATTTTTACATTAAAGTTTAAATGTTTAGTTAAATGCTAATCTAATAGGAAGTATATTGGAATTAGGTTTAAACCAAATGATTCAAATGATTATATTTTAGGAAGTCAATGTCTTTCTTTCCTTCGGAAGGTGTTTGTACGTAGGGAGATATGAGACTGTCAATTTTAAGATTGCATTGGATATTTAAATAGTACTTTTGTTCATGTTAACATTTGAATCGATTTATGAGTATCTTTTTACATTGCTGCTAAGTTTTATAATACGCTTCGATGATTTAAACTATTAGTTTTAGAGATAACGTTCATAAAATTAATAATATAAAATAATAATCACTCTGTGAAAGTAAAGTACATCTATGCACAGTTTTTGATGCCATTAAAGCCTCACTTCCTCAAAAAAAAAAAAAAAAAAAAAAAAAAAAAAAAAAAAAAAAAAAAAAAAAAAAAAGAGGTTTATCTACAGTCTGTTCGATATGTGTTACATCGTTGAAAGGCATGCTTCTCCAATGGACTTCAGATGGACAACTATTCACACTACTGCGTCTGATCGCTTAGAGACTTACTTTAAAATATTTTTAATGTTTTCTCTGAGTTTCTAGTTGCTTTAAATACTTGCAAATAATTTATGATTAAAATTAAAGTACATTGTTAAAGTAACACAAACAAATTAATCACCAAGCAAATGTAACGTAAAACTTAAAAACTTTCCACGATATTTATTATGCTTTGCAACATATGCAACTGATTGTCAAGCGAGACTTCTGTTTTAAAATATACGCTAAATAGGAGATAATAAGGAAAATATGTAACGTAATATTTTAGTGTGTTTCTTAAATCTAAAACAATCTATACAGAGATATATATAAATACCAATATAAATATATTATTAGGTAACAGTATTCATTAGCTGAAACACAGACAGGCTGAAGACAGAAATGCAAAAGAAAACATGACTTAACAGTAAATCTTCCGGATCCGACTTCGCATCCTCTAAAATGCTAATATTCGTAACCGAAATTAAGAGAATTTTCAAATTATATCTATTTTTATACAATAAATATTCAACCAAATGTATTAATTATGCTACCGAATGATTATGCAAATATTCAGAGTACGTAACCGTACGTGTGCGTTTCTGCGGAGCTGTGACTGTGCAGAGGATATAATCGTACGAGGGGTTTCGGAGATTTGTGTTCTCCTGCACTTTCTCGCAAGATATGGGTGAATTTTATAAGGTATCAGATAAAAGTATGAAAAGTATGGGAGACGGAATGAGATGGAAAATTGTCCGTAGATTGGAGGTAGGCAAATCACAAGCGCAGGTTGGGCTACAGAGTTCAGTGCAATGCTCAGTGTCGTCTGTAACTTGAGAAAACAATTTCAGGACACTGGATCCGTATCAAAATGACCTGTATGAGGTCAAACAACATCCACAACGATGAATGTTGGAACTTTGAGGGCGGATACACTGGACTACTAGAGCTTCACAGCTCTCACGTGAGTTGCTTACTTCGACTGAAATCCAAGTTTAATGGTCTCTATGTTAGACTTCATGAGACAGTGCTGTATCTAGAAGACGAATGTTTCCGTTCTGCTCCAATGCAGCATAGAAAACGGTGAGTTTAGCATCGGGCAGACAACATGTGCCTAGGACCAGAATGTAGGGGAATTCCGTGTTTTTTACATATGAGTCGATATTTATCCTGGACACTGTTATCGGCGTACTTGTATCTGGAGACAGCCTGGAAGACAATACCATCCCTCCTCATCTGGAGAAAGCCCATTACGGTGGTGGAAGTACAGGGTGATTATAATTAAAGTTTAAGTTTCAAACCGCTATAAAAAAAAGAACCACTCATGAAAATGACGTCAAATTTGAAAGGAATGTTATTGAAGAAGGCGGAAAGCGTATGTCAGAAGAAAAAATTTAGTTTCAAAAGTTAGCAACAAATGGCGCTGCAAGCGAAAGAAGACTTAAATTAAAATGTTAGTTAAATTTCAGTGTTATAAAACCGCCACCAGGTACCAAGGCTGTTCCTCATTTCGCGTCTCAGACGTTCGCCATGGGTGTTTCACTGCAGGACCGCGCTCTGCTGGTAAAGCTTGTATTACAAGAATGATGATTGTCAAGAGTAGCTTCTGCAAAAATTCAGGACACTGAAAGGGTATATAGAAGAAGGCGTTGGTCCAATGAGTGTCGTAGGATCTAAAGAAAATAATGATGCAAAAATTCGAAAACGACAAGGTTCGTTTGATGTGCAATCTGGTAGAGGGAGAAAACGAGTGTGCATTCGACGGTAGTTGAAGAAGAAGTGGCCACAGCATTACAGGAGGGGTCGGCCGGTGGTGTGCAACAGTGCAATGCACGAGGAATTGTCCGGAACATTGGACAGGCCTATGAGCACAGTGCTGAAAATTGTGCGAAACATTCCTGCAATGCTATCCGTACAAAATTGGCCATGTGCAGGAGTTGCTTCCGTCTGACCTGACAGCTAGGGAGACGTTTGCGTTAGAATTCCTGGCTCGCATGGAAGTGGATAATGAATGGCCGTGGAAAATTTTGTGGACAGATGAAGCCCATTTCCATCTGACAGGATACGTGAATACCCAGAATTGTCGAATATGGGCAACAGAAAATCCACTGGCAACGCACCCCGTACCACTTCATCCTGAAAGGGTCACGGTATGGTGTGGCTTTACGGCATCATTCATCCTACAACCATATTTTTTCGAGCAAACGGGTGCTTCCGGTCCTGTTCCCTCAACCGTCACTGGTCAGAGGTATGCGTCTCTTTTGTGCAACCACGTGATTCCAGGTCTGCAACAGCATGGATGTGTGGATGAAATCATTTTTTATGCAAGATGGCGCTCCTCCGCACATTCCACATCCCGTGAAACAGCTGCTGAGGCACCATTTCGGAAATGCTCGAATTATCAGCCGTCATTTCCCTACATCCTGGCCATCCCGATCGCCTGATCTTACTCCGTGTGATTTCTGGCTGTGGGAGTATCTGAAGGATGTTGTGTTCCGTGCTCCAATTGCAAATTTAGCGGAATGAAAGGTACGCATTTCGCAACACATTCTGAACATCACCCCGGAGACACTGCGATCCGTTGTGGAACATGCTGTTTGTCACTTTCAACTTGTTGCACACAACGGTGGACACCATATTGAACATGTTTTGCGCCAGTCTCGCGACAGTTCCGAACTTCTTTGATGAATGGTTCTTATGCGGTATGTCGCCGCAAAAACTCTTTGAAAACCGATTTGTCCCTTTCGATGTGATATGTACAGTCATGCAAATAAAAATTATTCAACAATTCTAATTTGTCAATGCGTTTTAATGTGTAACTTCCACCTTAGCCATTGTTTTACGAATCATTTCTCGTTTCTCGTCGTGATTCTGCCGCTTACAGCGCCATCTGTTGCTAACTTTTGAAACTAAAATTTTTCTTCTGCCATATGCTTTCCGCCTTTTTCAATAACATTCCTTTCAAATTTCACATCATTTTCATCAGTGGTTCTTTTTTTATAGCGTTTTGAAACTTAAACTTTAATTATAATCACCCTGTATAATGGTTTGGCAGGCGTTATGCTGAACGGATGCACACCACTACATATTTTTAAAAAAGGCGTCCTGACTGTTGTGAGATATAGAGAGGAGATCTTAGAGACCTATGTTCGTATTATCAGGGACACAGTCTGTCTTAGGTTTCTGTTAATGAACGATAATGTTCGTCCACATCGGCTGGTTTAGGATTACCTGAAAAGAGAGGATATTCGCTGCATGGATTGGCCAGCTAGGTCTGCTGACCTTAACCCTAAACAACATATTTGAAGATTCCTGGGAGGAAAATTTCATCTCGCCATCCACCTCGGAGAACAATCCCAGAACTGAAAACTGACTTTCTGCAGGAGTGAGATTGACTGCCACAGAAACTTCTCGACTGCTTCCTGTTCAAAATAGCATCATGCTGAGCGACCTGTATAACTGTGAGAATAAACCATACTCTATGTTAGGCTCGATATGACAACTTGGATTTTATTCTTTCTTACAATTTGAGCTTTACTGATAATAAGCGTACATAAAATGACTTTGCGAATTCTATATTTTGTCTCGCTTGAAATGTATATTCATAACAAGTTGCATTAAAATCTGTCCATTAGATTTTAAGAACTATAAGATAATATGCAAATTCTCTCAATTTTTCTATGAGTGTAGCTTTATTTCAGTGTTACAGGCATGCATGCTTAGAATGTTCAATTTGATTAAAATAAGTCAGTAAATAAATGATGTTTAAATTATGCTTTTTTGGTTTCATATAAATGTGTCTTACTAAAAATTCATCATATTATGTTATTCAACTTCTAATGCATAATATTCACCAATTAAATTTTAAAAGGCTCTTCAATTCAAGCTGGAACTAGATTTAAATATATTATATTTTATTTGACCACATAAACTCCAGTCATGTTCAATGAGCAATTTTATGTTTAATAATGGCGCCTGCAAATTTCCTATATAAAACTATATTTAACAATATTAGACGTACTTATCTCTCCTGAACCTCAAAAATGGAGACTTGTTTTCAATAATTAAAAGTTTCCCATACAATGGTGACGTTAGGATATGCTTTCGAATTATTGTAACAATGTATGTAAATTTAATATTTCTATTGCTTACACATTCTACAGGTTTTAAAATGTGACAAAGAAGTTTCAACCGAACTGTACTTTGATTAAGTATATCGACTTTAAATGGAGCAATCGCTAACTCATTAATGCTAAATAGATGAAAAAAGAAAGAAAAATGTATTGAAATAGAATTCGAAAGGCAAGTTTAACTCAGGTTTTAATTTTTGTTTCAAATAATATATTTAAAAGAATATTCAGTAAACAATTAATTATTCATAATAACAGAAATACCATTTACAAGGTTTTAAAATT